TTGCGTCCTACATAACAGCTACCTTCGCTCTAGTTCCGCCACACAGCCAAACCCAACACATGCTTGAGGAAACATATAAGCAGTGACAGTAACAGAGACCTGTCCAATGCCATGCACTTAGAGCATATGTTGGCTCCTCAAGAGTTTTTTTACTCTAATATCCAAGAGTCGGCAGCCAAAGACACATTATACTCTTCATAATTTCTTCTGCCCCTATCCACCCTCTCATTGATCCACAGTTTATTAAAGAACCCAGAGTTCCTAATCTTCCACAACCACCAAAGCAGGTATGTCGGCAAACGAACTCTATCAACCACTACTTTTTTTCTTTATTTGATAGTTTTGATATGGATATCTTACTATTTTTTTGTTAGCGGTAGCGGACTAAAATTTGAATCGATATCAGTCAGAGTATATGATAAAATCAAAATTAATATGGTGATTGTTAGACGGACCTAATGTTAGTGTGTCACGCTTATTCAATAGATGTACATATTTTTAAACTAAAATGTTAATGGTATGGTCTTGCTAAAAATATTACGAAGCTTAATATGCTATTTGAGGGTTTTGATTTAGATTTAATTGAGGCAAGAAGGAAATAAGGAACGGGAAATAGAAGGGCAATAAGACAATTGGCGAATCGAGTGTTTGTGTTAATACGCTTGCACCGGGGTTCATTTATTATTTTGTGTCGTTTTAAGAGCATGCTTGGATACAAATTCAATCCAAAAACAAATCCAATTATTTTTAACTCAACCATTTTTTTTAACTCAACTTTAACTCAAACCACTATCATCAATATTATCAATATAATTAAAATAATATCAATCAATCATTCTTACACACAACATCAACCTTAAGTTACTAATCATCTACTCACATAATTTTAATTAACCATCACATCACATCACATCTTCTCTCTCCTATTTTGACATCAATTTAATTTTAATCTGTTTAAATATTATTTTAATATATCTACTAACAATTAACTATACCAACTTTTTCAAATTTAACCAACTCAAACCAAATTTTGGCGGCTGATATTTTGGGCGGTGGAAACTAGTTTTAATTGACAAATTTATTCACACTATATATATCTGCTAAGATCGGCCTGAAAGAAGCTTCGTTCATTGGTGGCCGATGTGAGTAGACAGAACTTCTATGTCATAATTGCGTAGGCCTAAATAATTAATGGAACAGCATGGACTAGCACCGCCGGTAGGTTTCTAGTATATATATATATATATATATATATATATACATACTTCTACATCTTAATAATAGTAGGTTTGAGGGCCTGTTGGAGCGCCACGTGGCCGGCCTCAGACCACCTCCAGCGCTGCGCTACATCTGTGAATTGCGCTGGAGTTGTGCAAGTTTTCTCCTCCAATGCATCGCTATATTTTTGCGCCAGAATAAAGAAATGCACAGTGCATCGCTACATCTGGCGCAGTACTGTTGATATTGCGCTATACTTTTTTTCGTTTTTTTTAAATTTATTTTATTATATAATTTGGTATAGATTTCCCTTTTTATTTATATATTTTTGTATGATTTTGTTATCATATATATATATACAACGATAGATTTTTTTTTTTTATTTTCTTTTTATTTATATATTTTGTATAGATTTCTCTTTTTTGTTATTTTTTGTTTATATATTTTTGTATGATTTTATTATAATGTATTTATATAATACATATATATTATTGATATAATTTTGGATAGGGTTTATTTGGATATAAAACTATTGTATTATTGATAAAAAAATATTATAAAATTTAATATATTTGATGTAGAGTAAAATGTAGAGATAAGGGCTAGAGATGAATGTTCAACTCTACTCTATAGTAGAGTAAAGTCCGCGCTAGAGTAGAGATAAGGGTTGGAGATGACTCCAGGCGCTTGGTGAATTTGTTGTCCATTTTAGGATAGAAATTGGATAGAGACTTCCACTTTTTGTAGTATGCTAATAAATAACCGTCCTTTTATTTATTTACTCTAAATGCTGGCCTCTCCTTTTTTAATTCATTAATTTCAAATTTTATTTTATGTTTATATTTTAACTAAATTTTATTATACATAAAATAGTTATATAATAAATTTTAAGCAAAAATATAAATTCAAAATTTTAACTTATTTAACAAACTAATCACAGTTATTAGTGTATATTTTATCAAAATAATAAATAAAAATAAAAATTAATTTGTAAGCAAATAAAATTTGAGAAAAAAATTCAAGTGCATAGAACAATTAAGTACTATATTAACGCATTATTATTTACATCATCATGTGAAAATGTAATGTAAATTAAAAGCATATTTATCACACACATTGAAGGTGAGTTGCATCGTAGAGTAGAGTTGCTCTTATACTTTTTCTTTTGATTTTTTGCCTTATGACTATGTAACGTTATAGGGTGTGATTGGATACAGAAATTTTTATCAAAAAACGAGTATACACGTTTGAATTGGAAAAAGGTGATATGTCTTGAGCAAATATTTTTTCGACCATATCTGCAGACGTGGGGCCCACAGCTAAAAAATCTGAGAAAAAAATTGGTGGCACATTTTCTCATATAGGTCCATTTATTATAAAAAAAAAAATCAATTGTGTTTATTGTTATGAAAACACATCTTAATTTCATCCCCAAAATGTATCTGCATTAAGAGGAAATTGTTGGAAGTTATTGTTTCTCATCAGATGAGATGTTCTTATAAAATTTTATCACAAATGGACGGATATCTCATTTAAAAGTTATTCATACTAAATAGGTCGGGTCGGGAATCCATATAACAAAAAAAATAGTTTTTAAACTAATTAATAAGTGTGGCGGGCATTACGCCAAATTGGTCATCACAACAATAAAGTTTGATCAGTTTCTTTGATTTTTATAACTAACAATTATTCTGCGTGGGTTTAATTTTTGCCTTATAATTTGTCTATTTGATCAATATTTTTTGGTGCATTTGTAAACATAAGTTATTTTTCACTAATTTTTTATGCAATTTCGGATCTGCTTGTTTAAAATATGTGAGTATCACCTTTAAACATAAATCTATATATATATATATAATTACTGGCTCTTCTGCATTTAATTAAACCTCATAAATTATACTTAGGTGGCATTTTCCCCCCAATTTCTGATACTTTTCATTTATTTTCATTTTTTATTTTCTTTATTAAAAACAACTCAATTTTCTTGAAAAGTTTATTGTTTTAAAAATGGCAACCAATTAATTCTGGAATTATATATAAGAGTTAAGAAAATGAAAATGTTCCCATATTTTTTTAAACATATTAATTACTCTCAACAATTGTCATTAATCATTTTTTTAATCGCAATTATTTTTTCTATGCATAGTAAAT